GGAATGATATATATGGCAGCTGGAACATCCAGGTTCAGGGGATTCTCTTCAGTTCTCCAGCTCACCTTTGCTACTCTCCCTTGACACATCGTGTCCATCTTCCCAGTTATTTTACGGGTATCCTTCAACTTTGCATCTGGCAGGGACCATTTTCTTGTTCTTTTATTTCTTTTCGACATTTACCCGACTTTCGAATCCCGGAGATTAGATAATTCTGTCCACCATGCGTTTCTCGACCAGTGCAACTCTCTCAGCGGCTCTGCTTGCTACCAGCATCACGGCGCAAGCCCCTGTTCTTGTTGATGTCCAGAGTCTGCTCCCGGCAGCCGGCACTCCCGCCATCTTTGACAAGACCACGATCATCCGGTCAACTTCCGTCCTCACAACCACGGTCAAGTTGACCAGCTCAACGGGGTTGGCCAACTCGACCATCAGCAGAACATCCAGCACTAGATCGTCCAGCAGCAGAACTGCTTCCGCTACCTCTGTAACCTCACCTACATCGATTCCGGGCATTACCGCCGACCAGCAGAATGCCGTAAACCTTCACAATGAGGCGCGAAAGCTTGTTGGATGTTCACCTTTGACCTGGGACGCCGGTCTTGCCAATGACGCTCAAGTATACGCCAAGACCCTCGCGAGCATCGACAAGCTACAGCACGACGCGAACAGAGGAAATGAAGGCGAGAACCTCTACTACCAGTATGGCAGCGGCAGCCTCCCGTATGCTGCTGCTACCACCTGGTGGCTCAACGAGAAGCAATACTACACCGGGCAGGCTATCCCTCTGGCCAGCTCTAACGGAAAGCAGTTCGCAGACTATGGTCACTACAGTAAGTTACATCGTCCAAGGGCAGCTGTCATCTCAGCGAAGAGCAACTTGCTGACAGCATCCAGCTCAATGCGTCTGGAAGACTACCACCAAGGTTGGAATGGCTACTGCACAGTCTGCCTCGGGTAAGACCTATGTGGTCGCTCGCTACTCACCAGCTGGCAACATGTAAGTCCCCGCCATTCATTTGCCTTGGGATTTCCCACTAACTTGATGAAGCGTTGGCCAAAAGCCCTACTAGTGCTGAGGGTGAAACTGTGGGAATATGGGCGTCGGTAGAGGGAGTTTGTGGTTGGAGCCTTATATTGGCCGATTCTCAGTATAAAATTTGGCGGCGTGTCTGGCTAGCAGATTTGTATTCTAGACATAGATTTCTAGACAAATTTAGATATTAGATTCTACAATGGCTCCTAGTCATATTGGTGATCCTTCACTCCTTGTCATGATAAGAGGCGCGGCCAATATCACAGGAGAAGAAAATAACAAGCCGGGATCAAGTCAATGCGGTTTATGTATTTATATTTCGAAAGCAAGTAGAAACCACCTCGTATCGACGCTGTTGCCCAGAAAAGTTCCATCTCCTCTGAATTTGGCGGCGACAGCGAAAATCGCATTCCCGCTCCATGCTTCTCCCACAGTCTGCCATCTGAAGATATGCGTCTGCGCAAGGAGACGATGCGCGATCTTGGCCGTATCGGCACTTGTAGAAATTAGGATCCCTGTAGTAAGATAAGTTCCATAACATCCCTAAAGCTGTTAATTCTGAACATAGTCGGGGATTTTTGGCATCCAGTCGTTGTCCTCGTCTGCCTGTTGCTTTTCGATTCGGGAAGCCTCGCTGTTCAACTTGCCTCGCAAGAGCGACAGCCTTGCGTCACGCCTCATTCTTGTAGGTCGCTTTCCGGACTGTTCCTCCCGCCGAGCCCAATATTCGTCAGTTAGATGGGCCGGAAGTAGGCTCGCTGGCTCCCATGTGTGCTTCGGATGTCCCACCCACTCGACCAAATATCGATCATCACCAGCTCGCGATGCCCTGAAGTCCATGATGTCGTGCACCAACCACATCCCATCGTTATTCATGAAGAGGTGCCTGCCGCCTTGGGAAGCCCAGTACTCAAAAACAGCAGACTTGGCGTCTTGATGGAGGCACTCCTCAGACTCCCATGTTGTCGAGTTATCTTCCCATTGAACGAGCATCTCAAAGGCGTCGGTGCCATCGAGAGTGTCGACTTTTCGGTGGCTGCAGATGCTTTGGAACGCGTAGTAGGTCGAATCATCTGGTGCGGCATCACCGTTGTCAGCATTCACGGAAAGGCGTCGTACGAAGGCGAGAAACAAGGCATACCTGCTTGAGAACCATTGGTGTCATCATTGGAAGGCTCTCTCAGCTGGGATTTGGGCGTCGACAAAGACTCTGGTGTAGGAAGTGACAAATTGCCGTTGCCACGGACTTTTGAGGGGGTATCCCACTTCATTTTCGCTGAGTCCAGCTCGTGGTCGCGATCCCACGGTGTGCGGCATGGGCCGGGTTGCTGATACGGGGTCTCGGATGGGGGATGCGCAGTGGAAGTTGAGATTAACCACGTCGTCGAAGAGATGAAAAGCTCACATAAGGTATGGTACCGTCATGGGAAAATGGAAGGACCCCTGGGGGCAGGATCCAAGGCAGTTGCATCTTGCAGTAAGGTGCCTAGTTCCTGCTGGCACTGAGCAGGAAGGCTCTCGTCTCGTTCCTGCCGGTACAGTGCAGGTACTCTCAGAGGTTGTCATGTCGTGGGAAGAAAGGACCCAAGTTGTTACCTGACCTTACAATGCAGAAGGTAGGTCCATCTTTGGGCAGGACCAGTCTGGGAATTCCCGAGATCTCTTTCCTTTCTTAGAGGCCCTCCGTTGCCCCGTCTTCCCCTCTGAACCTGCCATCTCTGTCCAATTCATCACGGTTTTGATATGAAAAGAATAGCTATAATTCAGCTCGAGACAACTGGGACAAGGGAACACATGCTGGCCATGTTCACACTGCACTCTCTTGGAAAGTGCAATCCCGTCTGATGATTCCGGGTATCGGCGCCGATGGATCCACAGCGGCCTGGCATTGCAAGTCGCCTGAAAGGGACTAGCGCCGTCAGCCCTGGGCGTCTTGTGCTTTGCCGATGATCCTCCGAGGGATTCTCGGGTTTTCCTGTGTCCGGTGCGTGGCCCAGGCCTCCTCCTCAGTCAGGTCCCGTCTGCATCCTCTCCCTCTCGCTGGACAATACCGCCCTGCCGATCAAACATCGTTCGCCTCCTCGGTCCTCGCACCTTTTTTCGGCGCCGGACCCTTCGCAACCAAGCAATGCAGAAACAGTCGAGGTGTCCGATGTACCCCGACCTCCGCTCCTCTTCGAAACGGCTTGACCGTCGTGCGCTCGTCGAATGCACCCCAAATCCCCACTGAACCGACCAGCCCACGACCGAAGTCTTGATTGTCGATATGCACTTCGAGCGGCTTTTTTGGAACACCGAGCGCGAATCGCCTTCCGACTAAATGACAGATAAGCAATTGAAATCGAAGTTCTGCGTCGCGTTGGAGCCACGTGCGATTTCGCTGGCTGGGGAACCGACAAACAGTCGACGAAACCATTCGACGCCTCCTACCGCGGCACACCGGAAGACCTTCGATCTTCGATCTTCGATGACGACAATAAAAAGAGCCCACGTCAGGCCCTCTCTGGTTCGACAATAATGCGTGAGGCAACATGTCTGTCGGTTGTCGCATCGGCAGGGAGATAGCTTGCTGCACCGAATGCTGACACCGACCTCTCAGCGCTCTCTGTAGTTGTCGTCGGGAACCGACTTGCCCGAGTCGCCCGAACTATTGCGTGGACAGCACCTTGTTTGTAGCCGACGCTTCCCTACATGCCAGCTTCGCATATTCTTCGTGTCCACATGTGACCTTCGGCCAAGGTACTCTGATGGCCTCTCAACCTATACCAGTGCTGTTGTGGCAGCAAGAGATCTGGTAGAAGATCTCGGATCTATCCTTCAAACGAAAGCTGCAGCCAGACCGATGCACATCATGACTGGAAAAACTTGCGAGGGGAGATTCTTCATGTGCATCCTCGTGAAAACCTTCACCTACACATACTCATACAGAACAATTCTTGTGATTTAGACCCCAAACTTGAATTCCCGGTACTTCTTCTGATAGTAGAAAGTCGCCGCTGCACCGGCAAATGTGAGGGCCAGTGGTATGGGCGCTTTTCCTCCAGTCTTGATGGCCCTGGAGGCGCCGGCGCCAAGCAGCACGATGCTGTTTCCGAGGGCGAGTTCCGCGCCGTAGTCCTTATTCTCCTTGAGGAGGTAACCTGACGGAGCATTATTTCTTGCTCACCAGCTGTGACGGGGAACACTCCGCGACTTACCAGAGTACGCGTAGGCGGCTCCAAGTCCAAGACCCGCGATGAGCGACGGCTTGGACTGCGTCTTCAGGAAGCCGGCAGTGCCGCCGACGGCCACTGAAAACCATGTTAGGCATATGCACTATTGTCAATCGGGGAGATCATCACTCACAGAGGCCGGCAAGAGTAAAAGACGGGTGGTGAGCCATTGCGATAATTCGATTGATAGACTTGATGGGATGAACGTGAGAGGCGGCATCAAAGGCAAAAGCCGTTCATCCCGGCGGGAGCCGCTGGGGATTAGTAATGACTACGACGGCAAAGCTTCGGCAATTTCCTGCCCCTTGAGTGAGGTTGAGGTGGCTTTCTGACATGATGGACATCCAGGAGAATAACTCAACAAGTCACTCTATGCATGTCTTTTCAGCGCCCTGGAGATCCCAGGTAACATCCCCAAAAGACTTATGGTGGTTCCTTAATGGAATTGTCACCGGTTTTCCTGACTGTATACCTACCTCATTCCACACCCATGAATCCTGCCTCGACACTCTGATCTTCCTAGAAACCTACGCCTCAGACTCGCACCAGGTTCGTCTTTCGCGTCTCAGAAGCCCATGCTCGTGATCGGGTAAGAAAGCCTAGTTGCCTTTGGAATACCCGCGTCTCTTCGCGTCACCTACCTGATGTTCACCCAGCGTCCTGCTACTATCGCGTCCGGGAGGAGTTCGTGGCCAGCCGACCGCCCACGCTGCGGGTCTTGGGCTGGACTACCATGTGCCTCGGTATCCACATCCGATATGGTGTAGTGGCCAACATGATGCCCTCTCATCTCCAATGAGAGGTTAGGCATAGCCCCGAGTTCGATTCTCGGTTTCGGAACACTTTTGTCTCGCGCGATCATCCACTTTTCTGCCTTCAATGGTTGCCGTCTTTTTTTTCTTCTTCGTTCGAATTCCACACGACGCGTCTCCCACAATTCAAAGACGTTTGCTTCCCTGCTAGTAAATAATTTTGGACAGATGCGCTTTCGGCCTGTACTTTGTGTGCTGTTATGGCCACTGAAGGCCGCTGACAATCCGAGCCATTGGCAGGCAGCCACGGTGTGACTAGGCAGCCGTCTGATTTGGCCTCTGTGAGAACCAAATATTGGTAGCTAACATTGGTGAGAAGACATTGATGAGAAGAAGCCAGTCAAGGAGCTACTGTCACCGACTCCACCTCCTCTACAACTCTTCTCATTTCACGATGACGACTGCAAAGATCTCCCACGTCCCTGAAATCCAGCTTCTCTGCATGGAAAAGCAGTTCGCTGTCGCGTTCGCCAAAGCACGCAAGATTTGGGAGCTGCATGAGTCGGTTTCCGTCCAAGTTCACGAGTGCCCTCTCATTTATCTATCAGAAGATGTCCAATTCGACACCATAGTATCCCCTGCCAATTCGTACGGCCGCCTCGACGGCGCATTCGACGATGCCATCTCTCGCGCCTTGTCGCCTCGCGACGACTACCTCGCCCTGACGCACGTCGCCCAGCGACAGCTTTATGAACAATGGCGCGGCTTCGCGCCCCCTGGCACATGCACGCTGGTCCGCATCCCCGACGAGTTTCGCGCCCGCTCTCGCAACGTCTGGGGCACTCGTCGCGTCGCGCTCTGCCCCACGATGCGAACGCCCACGAACGTCACCTGGGACCGGGAAATCGTGTACGAATGTGTGTGGAGCTTGCTTTGCGCCATTGACAACCACAACCGTGACGTCCGAGATGGCAAGGCCGCAGAGGGCGAGGAGATTCGCAGCGTGCTCATGACTCCGCTGGCGACGGGTGTAGGACGCGTGAGCCCGGAGAAATGGGCTTCGCAAGCCGTCTTGGCAATCAATCACTTCGTCCAGGCCTCTGAGAACCCCGAGAAATGGAGCAGACTTGACTGGGCTGATTTTGACGGGCCTTGTGAAGAGGTGGCGGCTACTTGGCGAGAAACACAGACTTGATGGGGCGCATGGTGACCCCGCGATGGTGTACACCTCGATCTTCGGCCCTGCGGCAAGACGCGAGACATGCAGGCGATCACCAAAGATTTCAATCTCTGGACTAATTCTTTTCAATCTTTCACTCGTGCATATGTATCTATTAATCAGCGCGACCTGTCTAATCACATGTGGCACTTGAGTACTTCGGGATCCATCGAACCAAACTGGTGAGACACGAGTTGCAACCTCTCCTTCGTCGGAACGAGTCTCTGCTGCCGTAAATGCACCTGCGTACTATCGCTTATGCGAGAGAATAACCTTGCACGTCTTGCCCCGCGGCTCAATCAGGACCAAGTTATCCATCTCCATGCTCTCGGGTGTCGTCGCCGGCGAAAGCCTGGCGCCTTGGAACTTGCGGAAGAACATGGTGATTCCATAGCGAAGCTCCATTTCTGCCAAGTGCCTACCAATGCACACTCGAGACCCTGCCCCAAACGGCGTGAACGCGGCCTTGGCGGTCTCGGAGTTGGTGCTCTCCCCGTCAGGCATCCATCGAGAGTAATCAAAGCTGGAATCGTGTTAATGCTTGAAATCATGCCGGCAGAAACCAACTCATACCTCTCTGGGTCACTGAAGTTCTCTGGGTCTCGATGCAAAGTCCACGATTGGGTTGCAACATCGGTTCCAGCGGGGAGATGGTAGCCGCCAAGCTGGATGCCGCCGGTAGGAACGACGCGCGGAAGTGGCGTAGGCGCGGCGCCATAGAGTCGCAAAGTCTCTTCTATCACAGCGTGAAGTACGGGAAGCCTCTCCAATTCCGCATCTGTGAAATTGTCACTAAGCCCAAGAACTTCATTCTCCAAAGCAGTCTGCAGCTCCGGGCGCAGCAAGACAGCCCAAATACCGTACGTCAAGGTGTTAGACGTGGTATCGGTACCGGCGATCATGAAGGCTGCAGCTTCGACGCAGATGTCCATATCTGTCAGAGAACCTTCGTCCTTCTCTGCTTGGAAGAGGACTTTGGAGAAGAGATTCGAGGCCTGCGACGCCGCTGCTTGCTTGCTGTTCTTGACGGCGATACGGCCCTTGTCGAGCAGTACCTTGTAGGAGCTGCACATTCTCAGACTTCCAATGAAAGGAAGGCGTTTGGTGACCGCATAAAGCCATGGAAAAGACAATGCGGTGAAGGCCGCGGTGTTGGCGAAGTTGACCTCCTCGAACCATGGGTCTTCCTATACAAAATCGTCAGACTGAAGCCCGGTTGAGTCTTAGGAGGATCGGCAATGTCCTACCTTTCCGGCCTTCAAAGCGTCAAAAGACTCTCCAAACATGAGCTTCGAGACAACATCGCATGCCATGAGAATCCACCACTTGCGCATATCTACCTCACCGCTGGCAATCTTTGCGTCGATGGTCATGCCCTCGAGGGCCACTGTGACCTTCTCACGCACCATGTCTTCCCAATCTGCACGGAGCGAGGAAGATGTGAAGCCCCTACCCAGGAGCTTGCGTCTCTGAGAGTGGGCATGCTGGTCGGTCATTTGGAACAAGCCGTACGGAGGGCTGCCGGCCTCGGTTGGCCCGAAGTAGTGGTAGTATTCGGCTTTCGTAAACTGGCTTCCGACCTTGTGGATGGTCTTGAAGGCCTTCACGTCTGATACAAAGACCTGGCCTGGTGATGCACGTACAAAGGGGCCATATTGTTGGTGCAGACGGTGGTAATACTGAACTTGCTGCCGCTTGAGGGTCGCGATAGTGCCAGGCAAGCCGGTGAATTTCGCGTACCAAGGACCGGGGATTGCGTTCAAGGGGTTGGTGAAAATCTGAGGAAGGTCAGAAGAAAGGTATTAAGTTTGGGATTGCAAAAGGCAAACCTGGTAGAGTTTGATCAGTATATAGACTGCCGATGTGGCGGCAAGCAGGGGAACGAAAGTCAAAGTCATTTCCGTGGCATATGACAGGGGACTATTGTAGAAAGTTTAGTTACAGAGTTTGGTAGCTTTCACAATGACCTAATGAGGTCTTGAGACGAACGAATCTATATAAAATACTATTTCTCAGTCCATATCGTCTCCTGCTGACAATGATGCGCTTGCACGATGTCGACGTCAGCACTTGTCGGCGCTCGGTAGTACAGGCGGACTCCACATGACGCCGGACTTTGAGAACCGTAAGAAGACCGACATTGCACCGATCGAGTAGACCGCCCACAACGTCCACATTGGTAATGCTGCCAGACGGCCTGGAGTTATTGCGGCATCCGTAAATTTTCCTTCGTTCAGATTCTTGCCAAGATGTACCGCGCGCCTTCGTGCTTATATTCTTTGACCGACGTGGCGAAAAAGTGTAAGGCACACCGCTCGCTGGGTGCCGTGACCCGAGCACGAGAAGTCCCATGCATCTGCTTTTGGAACAACTCTCAGAGAAAATATCGAACGACGGGATTGGTTGTCTTTCGTCATACCCAATGTTCCATAGAAGTCGAGCTGGAGTGAAGCGCGGGTCATTCGACTGCGAAGAGGGTACTGTCATGTGCTGGACCTTTCCGTAGAGCCTCCAACTCGGCGACTACTACATCTACAGGTGACATCGAGCGATCTCGGAAAGACGGTAATGGTTAAAGGGGCATATCGTCAGCTGCGTTACCGCTCACCTGCGCCATTGGGCGATTGGTCGCTCGTGCATGTCTTCTATATAAACTTGGAAAGTGAGCGTGTCTCATCGCTACCCGTTAAGCTGCGTAAGGCGAGGTCTCCTCAATCTTGTTGCAGGGAAATTCGAATTCCTTCCTTAGGGAAACCAAGTGTCCATGTAGATGCCTTTAGGTATATGAAGTCGGATGTCGTCTTAGGCCCGAACCGCCCTTGGTAGTTGGGTACAGCCGAAGGGCGCCTTGTCTTCTACAACAACTGGCCCAGGTCCAAGGATCCTTTTTATCTGCAACTCCGACCCCTCATCTTGCTGGGGCACTGTCGCATGTCAGCCATCTCTCCAACTTAAACATCACGACACTTCGGTCTTGAGAATACGTCCCGGCAACAAAACTTTTAACGATATACAACGTGGAGGCCGTGGGACGATGTTGCCGATCCAAGCGTGTCCAAATTGGAAACGATCAAGGAGTCAACCGGTGAGACTATCAAGGCAGACCCACGAATAGACAGACAGAAAAACCAAAGAGAAGCACGTTGAACACTCTCATTATCATGGGGATTACTTCGGATCTTGAAGGCGGTATCGCTGCTGTATTCGTGAGGGCTTCTTGACGCGTTCCTCCAAAAGCCAAGTTTGACAGACGTATTTTGCTTCAATCTCTTGTACGCACAGGCAATATTCCCAGCAAAGCCTCCGTCCTGCTACCCGGACATGGTCTAGTACACTGACATGGTCTAGTGGCCAATACCAAAATGACGACACACGTGAAATATCTATCTAGACCTGTGCCAAATGTCTGCTCGCTGCTTGAACTATGTCAATGAAAGCCAAACGATAGGTTTGGAACTCGTTTTCGGCGTCTTTCCCAGCCCCATCCACGTTACTTTTCGTCTCTGCCAGTAGCTTGAGGTCAGACTCAATAGCATCGAACCCTCTCTCGCAGTTCCGGCCCTCTTTGATGCTTGACCAGGCCTTGTCCATTTCAGCCCTAAGGTCCATCATCCGCGTCTCGACGAGGATCTTGGTTCCCTCAAATAGTCCGATACGTCGACCGCAAACCAATCCGAAGTCAAGAAGAGTATCAACGAAAACAGAGACGGGGGTCTCAACCGCATCGTTGGGGCTATTCTCCAGCATAGGATCACCGCCACTTGGGTCTTCCAAAAGCGATCCTGGCGTAGCATTGAGGTCGAGGCCGTCGGAAATACTTCTGCCAGGAGAAATTTCCCGCGAAGTACTCGAATCTGCTATGTTGCGTG